AATGGGAAAGAGAATTAGATCTGTGGGATATTTCAAAAGTCTTATAATTGATAGATTGAAAAAAAGTTAAGGTCTAGAAGACCTGAACAATTTAACAACTTAATCTAATTGACATAATTTGTTTAGCCAAACAATAAAACACACATTCATTTCAAGCTTACATGGACTGTTCATGAAGATAGACCTAATATGCTGGGCCATGAAACAAGTCTCAAATTCAAGAAGTCCGAAGTTATTTAAAGTATTTTCTCTGATCACACCAGAACTAATGAAAATAACAAAATTATCTGGATGAATGTCAAACATTCTGATGTTAAACAACTTTTTTTTCCCGCCAAGATGGTCTTCCTGTGTTGCCCAGTCTGGAGTGCTGTGATGCAATCATGGGTCACTGCAGCCTTGATCTGTTGCTGCACTCAAGTGACCCTCCTGAGTAGCTGGGACTACAGGCATATGCCACCATGCCCGGCTAATTTCTGTACTTATTGTATAGGTGGGGTCTCCCCACGTTTCCCAGGCTGGTGTCAACCTCCAGAGCTCAAGCATTCTGCCCGCTTTGGCCTCCCAAAGTGCTGGGATTACAGGTGTGAACCACTGTGCCCAGCTATAAAAATCACATTTTATTACTGTTTTCTGAGATGGAGTCTCACTGTGTCACCCAGGCTGGAGTGCAGTGGCGCAGTCTCGGCTCACTGCAACCTCTGCCTCTTCGGTTCAAGCAATTCTCCTGCCTCAGCCTCCCGAGTAGCTGGGACTATAGGCGCTTGCCACCACACCCAGCTAATTTCTGTGTTTTTGGTAGAAATGGGCCATGTTGGCCAGACTGGTCTCAAACTCCTGACCTCAGGTGATCCACCCACCTTGGCCTCCCAAAGTGCTGGGATTACAGGCATGAGCCACCATGCCTGGCTGAAAAACAGTTTAAAATAATCCATGAGTCAGATAGGAAATATGAATGAAAAGAAAAAAATTCATGGGAAGTAGCGTGAAAAAAAAATTCATGGGATGCAGCTAAAGCAATGGCTACGGAAAAAAAAAGTTCATTTTAGGAAATAAAAATTTTTAATGAAGTTTCTCTCAGAAATTAGAAAATGAGCAAATTATGCATATGGAATATAAAGATAATAGAAATTAATGATACAGAAAGCAAAATAAATGGAATCAGAGCTGATCTAGTTAAAGATTAGTACAACTGAAAAATACCTATCCAGTTACACTAGAAAATGTGGGAAGACACAAGTAACTAATATCTGGAATGAATGAGGGAATATTACCACAAATTCTGTAGGTATCAAAATGATAAGAAAATATATGTAGATCAGACCAATACATTTGGCAACTTAGATGGAATAGATAATTCTTTGAAAGACACAGGTGCCAAAGCTCACGCAAGATTATACAGAACTGGAAAACAGCCTTTTATCTCTTAAAAGAAATTGTTTACCTTCTTACCCAGAAAATTCTTAGCCTAGAAGGGTTCTATAGCAAACTGTACCAAACATTAAGAGAGAATACCAAGTTTATACAAACTCTTTTATCAAATAGAACAAGATGGGACATTTCCCAACTTAATTTACAATTCCAGCATTACTCTGATAACAAAAACCCAGAAAAACCCATTACAAGAAATTCAAACTACAGACTAGTATTCTTCCTAAACTGGAAACAGGAGGGAATTTCCTTAGCCCAATAAAGGATGTCTGCAGAAAACCTGAGTTGTACTTATTGGTTAAGACAGAAATAATGGAGATTTAGCATATTACTGGATTGAAAGACAATAAAATACTATTCTACCCACATTTATGATAGATTCAATGCATTCTCAATATCCTAGCAGGTTCTTAAAAATAGAAATTGACAGGGTGGTTCCAACATTTATATAGAAATCAAAAGGATAGAATAGTCAAAATATTTTTTAAATTTATTTTTATTTTTTATTTTTTGTTTTTGGAGACAGACGTCCACTCTGTCACCCAGGTTGGTATGCAGTGGTGCCATCATAGCTCACTGTAACTTTGAACTCTTGGGCTCAAGTGATCCTTCTGCCTCCCTGTAGAGATGGGGTAGAGCCTCCTGAGTAGCTAGGATTATAGGTGTGCACCACACCACCTGGATACTTAATTTTTTTGTTTTGTTTTTAGAGACGGGGGTTCTCATTGTGTTGTCCAGGCTGATCTTGAACTCCTGGCCTCAAGCCATCCTCCTCCCCTCAGCCTCCCAAAGCGTTGAGATTACAGGCATGAGCCACCACACCTAGCTGTCAAAACAATTTTAACTTCAAAAAATTGAGGCCTTATGTTACTTGATTTTCAGACTACATTAGTCAACACAGTGTGGTATTCCCACAAGGATAGACATGGGGTCAATCACAGAGGCTCATACTTACAATTCCAGCTTTTTGGCAGGTCAAGATAGGAGGATCACTTGAGGTCAAGAGTTTGAGGCTGCAATGAGCCATGATGGCACTGCTGCACTCCAGCCCGGGTAACAGAGTGAGAACCTGTCTAAAGACAAAACCAAAAAACGATAGACGTGGATTAGTGGAATATATGAATGAGTCCAGAAAATGACCTATACATTTCTCTTTAATTGGTTTTCAATAAATGTGCCAAGGCAGTTTAATGGGGGTAATGGATGTCTTTTTGATAACTTGCTGGATCAATTGGACATTCATGTACAAAATAAAAAATACCTCGAGCTTTATATATACATGTATATATAGCTTTATTTATTCATTTTTTAGATGGCGTCTCGCTTTGTCGCCCAGGCTGAGTGCAGTGGCATGATCTTGGCTCACTGCAACCTCTGCCTCCAGGTTCAAGCGATTCTCCTGCCTCAGCCTCTGGTGTACCTGGGATTACAGGCATGCACCACCACACCTGGCTAACTTTTTATTTTTATTTTTTTAAGTAGAGTGGGGTTTCGCCACGTTGGCCAGGCTGGTCTCGAACATCTGACCTCAAGTGATCCTCCTGCCTCGGCCTTCCGAAGTGCTTGGATTACAGGGACGAGCCACTGCACCCAGTCATATATAGCTTTATATATACGTTATACCTAATGTATAACGTACTATAAAAACAATTTATAAAAGTATAAAAAACGATTTAAAAACTATAAAAATTTATTTTCGCTTTTCAGGGTCAGTGCCAGGGGTTGTTCAGCCTACATTTAGTACCACTATTCATCTATTATATTCCTGTCAGCTTGAGAGATACAGTCAGGGAGTACCTCAAATACTGCAGATATTCAGTACAAATACCTGGGCAAGCTGGCTAGTTTTGTTCTACTGCTTTCTCAGCAAACCATAATAGGAGGTGCAGCGGTTTATCTCAGCATCTTCTTGTGATGGCCACACTATATACTAAAATTGTCCTCACAATATATACTAAAATTGATATAAATCTAAATGCTACAGTGAAAACTATAAAACACTTTGGAGAAACGTCTCTCTTGGTTAGGCAAAGATTTCTTCGAACACAAAAAGCACTCACTATGAAAAACAAATTGGACTTCATCCAAAAACTTCTTATCTTTAAGATATATCATTTAAAAAATGAAAAACTGGGTCGGGCATGGTGGTTCACACCAGTAATCCCAGCACTTAGGGAGGCCGAGGTGAGCAAATGACTTGAGGTCAGGAGTTCAAGACCAGCCTGGCCAACATGGTGAAACCCCATCTCTACTAAAAATACAAGAATTAGCCAGGCATGGTGGTGCACTCTTGTAATCCTAGCTACTGGGGAGGCTGAGGCAGGAGAACCACTTGAACCTGGGAGGCAGAACTTGTAGTGGGCTGAGATGATGGCACTGAACTCCAGCCTGGGCAACGGTGAGACTCCGTCTCAAAAAAAAATAAAGGAAGAAACAATGAGGCACAGACTTAGGAGAAAATATTTACAAAAGACACATCCAATAAAGGACTTGCATCAGGAATATAAAGCTAATTGTTGAGAAAGTCAGTAAGACGACAGTATAAAATAAATGGGTAAAAGAATTGAACAGGGCCGGGCGCGGTGGCTCAAGCCTGTAATCCCAGCACTTTGGGAGGCCGAGACAGGCGGATCACGAGGTCAGGAGATCGAGACCATCCTGGCTAACACGGTGAAACCCCGTCTCTACTAAAAAAAAATACAAAAAATTAGCTGGGCGAGGTGGCGGGCGCCTGTAGTCCCAGCTACTCGGGAGGCTGAGGCAGGAGAATGGCGTAAACCCGGGAGGTGGAGCTTGCAGTGAGCTGAGATCCCGCCACTGCACTCCAGCCTGGGCGACAGAGCGAGACTCCGTCTCAAAAAAAAAAAAAAAAAAAAAAAGAATTGAACAGACACTATCAGGAAGATATGACTGGTAATACCAAATGATGGTGAGAATGTGACGCAGCTGGAACTATCATAGATAGCTGATGGGAACATAAAATAGTAGAGCTATTTTGCATTTTAACCCTTTCTTAAGTTACCCTTACTACACAACCCAGCATTTCCACTTACAGACATGTAACCAAGAGAAAATGATCACAGCAAGGCCTGTATACAGATGTTCGTAGCAGTTTATAATAGTCACGAACTGGAAAACAATTCAAACATCAACTGTTGAAAGCATCAACAAATTTTTGTACATCTTTACAATGGAATACTAATAATATAGAGGAATATACATTCAACAACGTGGATAAATCTCAATTTTGCTAAGTAGAAGTCAGTCTCAAAATGCTACTTACTGTATAATTCTAGTTACACAAAATTTTTGAAAAGGCAAAACTATAGTGATAGAAAGCAGGGTAGTAGTTACTAGGTGCCACAGGTAGAGTAAAAGTATTCGCTGGCAAGGTGACAATGAATTTTGTGGTTAATAGAAATACCCTATATCATTTTTGTGATGGTTGCACAACTGTCCATCTTTGTCAGAAGTCATCTAATCTATCCTCCCAACTTATGAATTTTATTCTATTTAAAGTATACATCTATAAAGCTGATTTTTAAGAACAATTTAATTTTGCTTTTCAGGGTCAGTGCCAAGAGTTGTTCAGCCTACATTTAGTACCACTATTCATGTATCATATTCCTGTCAACTTGAGAGATACAGTCAGGGAGTACCTCAGATCCTGCAGTCTTTCGGCACAAATAGCTGGGTAAGCTGGCTAGTTTTGTTCTACTGCTTTCTCAGCAAACCATAATAGGAGGTGCAGTGGTTTATCTCAGCATATTCTTGTGATGGTCAATACATACTGCACTGTCATAAGAACATTGGTATTGGTACCTTCTTATGCTCAGTCACCTGAAGGCAGGTGATCAAATCCTTCAGGTCAGAAATTTCTTCAGATACTGTTTTTCCCTTGGGGCTCTGGCAGGGTAGTGAATAGATATGAGAAAGATGGATACAAGGTTGATTAAAAGTGTCGTGTTTAAGAGGAATTGGTGCACACACCTTTAGGTGAAAAATAAATGCATAAGCTTTGTTTGAATGCAACTCATATGAAAAGATTTGTGATTTTAAAAAATTATGTGCTTAGCATCACAAGTGTGATGTAGTTGTCAAAGGGTGTTAATAATACAGGCTGGCATCAGTAGACCTGGACTTTTGCCACATTTGGACTTCTTTTATTTCTTTTTTACTTTATTATTTTTTTAAAGATGAAGGATCTTGCTCTGTTGCCCAGGCTGGAGTGCAGCAGCAGGATTGTAGCTCACTGCAGCCTCAACCTCCCGGCTGAAGTGATCCTCCCACCTCAGCTTCCTGAGTAGCTGGGATTACCAACACAAGCCACTGTGCCTGGCTTCTTTGTTAATTTCTGAGCAAGATATTTGAAGAAACTTCACTAGTGGATTTTCTGAGTAGAAAGATCATGTTGTATGAGGGCAGAGAGGAGGAACTGGAAATTTATAGCTTGGAAGCTAAACAATTTTTATTCATTTTTTGGTGTATATATTTGATTAGACACCAAGAAATTATGATACTTTAAAATATATATTTTGTAAGGTTGTTAGTAAACCTTGTTATAGGAAGTTGTAAAAGACACCTTTTAAAGGTCTAAAAATAGAGGAATGGATAAATAAATGATACATTCGTGCAATAGAATATATTGCCATAAAGGTCGAGAATATTAAATAATATGAAAATGCTGACAACCGTACTAGTAAGTAGGAAACTATAGCACAAAACAGTATGAAGAATATGATTTCATTTTTGTTCCCCCAAATGGGCACTTATTTACATATAAACAGCTAAAGGACCGGAAAATATGTTTAACAAGATGTTAACAAGTATGGTGGAGTTATAGGTAATACAAAATTTTTTTTTTGCTTATCTGTATTTCCTTCAATGAACATGTATTATTTGGTCATGATGGGAAAGTAAAATGTTTCTTAAAAACTAGTCTTTATTGTATTGTGAATGGATGTCAGAAATACGCAGAATCAGACATTCAGTGTATTTTTTATTTCACTGAAATTTGAATATAGTGAGGAGGTGCTGGTTTTTTGAAAACATCTGTGGCTTGTGTATAACAAAGGGCAAATGACTTCACTGGATCTGAGTTTCTGTGTTTTCACTTTTTTTTTATTATTATACTTTAAGTTCTAAGATACATGTGCACAAATTGTAGGTTTGTTACATAGGTATACATGTGCCATGGTGGTTTGCTGCACCCATCAACCCATCATCTACATTAGGTATTTGTCCTAATGCTGTCCCTCCCCTTGCAGCACACCCCTCCCTGTGTCCCCTCCCTGTGTCCATGTGTTCTCATTGTTCAAGTCCCATTTGTGAGTGACAACGTGGTGTTTGGTTTTCTGTTCCTGTGTTAAGTTTGCCGAGGATGATGGTTTCCAGCTTCATCCATGTACATGCAAAGGACATGAACTCATGCTTTTTTATAGCTGCATAATATTCCATGTTTTCGCTTCTTAAGCCATAAAGGGAAATGTTCCAGGCTTGATGGATCTCTAAGGTCTTCCTTCCAGTTTTTTAACTGAAAACCAGTTGTCAAGATTATAACCAATTAGGACCACATTTGCTGCAATTTCTCACACACCAAGGTAAAATGGAATGCTGGAATGCTATTTTTAAAAATTATATGAAATATAGATTCCTAGGCCCCCTCTTCACTCAAAGATGGGCCTGGGAATATGAACTTAACACCTCTTCCTCCCACCCTGCTTAGGTAGGAGTTATGATCAGGCAAGTTTGAGAAATGTTGGGTAAGAAAGGTGATCCAAAGGGAAGGCATGGTGGAACCTCTCTTAGTAATCACATTCTTTTGTTGTATAACATCAGCCACTGTATGTCCCAGTGTCCAATATGTGTCCCATCAGTTCTATCTGTGATGTTGGTTCTCTTCCATCCAGTACTGTTCCTTTGAAGTCTCCTAGCATTTCTACCTGAAGAGTTGATTTATGAATTAATTCCACCTACATGTCACCTAAATTAATCTGGCTATACCCCCCCCACCCCCCACCGCTTTGCCTATAATATATTGCTGCCTTGTGGGGCACCTGATGAAAAAATGAAAAACGATGAGTTTCATCATTGAGATGTCAGAATGTGAGTCTGCTGCTGAGCCTGCAGAGATTGGTAGGCACATGCATGACTCACAAGGTTTAAATGACATGATTTAAAATGAGACTTTTACTCTCTTTCTATGTTCCTCAAATTTAGATTCCTTAAGATGCGTTAGGCATCTTTAGGCAATGATTTTTTTCATTTTCTTCCTTTTTAATCTTTTAAAGCCATTTTAGGATATCTTTGCTCTAATTTTTTGTCACTTATACATAATTAGGTCAATGTGCCTGCCAAGCCTCAGGGAACATACAAACTCTTGGCTGTATGGCTTGATTAAAAGAAAGGACAAGTCTTTCAAAAGACTTAACAAGGTGACAAACAGCAGCCTCTGTTCCAGAGGGCAATGATGCACTTAGTTTTCCTAAATATTTACATCTTTTTGACTGTATTATTTGAGTTATTCATGTGGGATATTTGAAAAATATGTACTTGAATTTTTTATTTCAAATACAATTTTTTCAAAATGTGGTTCAGGATTACCTTGGATGCTTACTAAACAGTAGGTTCCTAGGCCCGATACCATAGCAATTGCATCAGAATTCTCTGAGTATGGCCTGGGAATCCCAGCTCTTTGTAAGCTTCCTGTTTATAGGAAGCTTGAGAACTACTGAAGTGACTATAAAATGTACAGTTGGGAGTGTGATGAAATTAATGTTATAATACTTCATCAGATATTAAATATCTTTAATATGGGAAGTTTTCAGACAAAGGAGTTTACTTCCTTCAAACAAACTCTAAGTCAGTGATACCTGATTTTCTGTAAAATGAGATCGTATATCTAAATATGGACTTGTCAAAGTTTTGTAGAAATAATACGGTATTTAATCAACTCTAAATATCTTCCTACTTCATGTAAAAGGTCTGTAAATCAAGCAAACACATCACTAACCACATACATTTTCATTTGAATTAATTTATTACGGAGATTCCCAGGAGAGGGACTATAGGATGCCCTGTATCCAGCATAGAGAAGAGATATTTTTGAGACTGAAAGGGCAACACTACCTGAATCCGGTTTCAAGTGGGTCTTGAGAGCAGTTTCAAACTGTAGTCCAGGCATGACATCACGTAGAAAAGACTCTTGCTTCTCTCAACCAGAAGGGTTTGTAAAAGTTTATTTTTGGACTTGGGATTCCTAGTTGTAAAGAGTGTTGGTTTTAGAGTCAGATATTAACTTGGAGCCTAACTTGGAGGAGTTACCTAATTTCTCCGAGTCTGTCTCATAATCTGTAAAATTGAAGCAATAATTAGTTTTATTTTTGTATTGTGAAATGAGTTGTGTGTGCTATGCCAAGCTAAGACGTTGCATGTGGCAAATGTTTGATCAATGTTAGCTTTTGTTTTCTGTAATATTAAGTTCACATTCATTGAGAATCCATTATATACCACCCAGTGGAAATGGAGAGTAAAAACTAGTCTAGAAGAACTAGTCAACTAGGCGCGGTGGCTCATGCCTGTAATCCCAATGCTTTGGGAGGCCGAGGCGGGTGAATCACAAGGTCAGGAGATGGAGACCATCCTGGCCAACACAGTGAAATCCCATCTCTACTAAAACTACAAAAAATTAGCCAGACATGGTGGCAGGTGCCTGTAGTCCCAGCTACTCGGGAGGCTGAGGCAGGAGAATGGCGTGAACCCAGGAGGCAGAGGTTGCAGTGAGCCGAGGAGGTGGCCACCTGCGCTCCGCCTGGTGACAGAGCAGAGACTGCTGTCTCGAAAAGAAAGCAGAGGAACAAGAGAGAAAGAGAGAGAGAGAGAGATGAGAGAGGGAAGGGAGGGGGAGGGAGGGATATGGAGGAAGGGAGGGAACTTAGAATAGTCTTTGACAAGTTCTTTTTTTTTTTTTTTTTTTTTTTTTTTTTTTTTTGTACTG